AGGTCAACCAAGGACTCAGCCCAACTAGACCTGGTAGGTCAGGTCAACCAAGGACACAGCCCACCTAGACCTGATAGGTCAGGTCAACCAAGGACTCAGCCCAACTAGACCTGGTAGGTCAGGTCAACCAAGAATGCAGCCCAACTAGACCTGGTAGGTCAGGTCAACCAAGGACCCAGCCCAACTAGACCTGGTAGGTCAGGTCAAACAAGAACCCAGCCCACCTAGACATGGTAGGTCGGGTCAACCAAGAACGCAGCCCACCTAGACCTGGTAGTTCAGGTCAACCAAGAACCTAGTCCACCTAGACCTGGTAGGTCAGGTCAGCCAAGGACCCAGCCCATCTAGACTTGGTAGGTCGGGCACACCAAGAACCCAACCCGCCTAGACCTGGTAGGCCGGGTCCTTTGAAGGACCAAGCCTCTGAATTTTTGTACACAGCCATAGTCCAAAAAATACACTATTAAAAAACTGCTCCCACAGGCTTGATTAGACTCATCTTGATTAGCGGAGCATGCGGACACAAATCTTAATTGGAACAATAAATGGTTAGCTACACTAAATAATCCCAGTAGACGGCAGAGTTTTTCTAAAAGCCCTTTCTGAAAAAGTTTAGCACACAGTACAAATTGAGTTAGTGAGAGGTAAGAGGAAAAAAAACAGACATGCAAACAAACAAAACCCTTCAAAACGCAGCTGCTGAAATCATTAAAATTCCAAAGAAGCTTCTTTGTCTTCTTTCGTATTTTCGTCCTTCTCTCATCCTTGTTGTGGGAGTGTGAAAATGGCGCACGGCAGACAGGAATGATAATTAATAAATTGAATGCATTAATGTGCGTCCTTCACACAAATCGCTTCTCCCAAAGAGACGCCACTGGGCCAGCTAGCAGGCAAAAAGAAAGGTCATGCTAAACTTGTTCAAATGACAACAACAGCTCACCGCGTGCACTTGTGTCTCGTGTGAACAGATCTGGATTCTCTCAGTTTACCAAACAGAAAGTTTATCTTCAATTCATGTTTTGACCTGTTTAATTACAATCGTTCCAGCTGTAAGATGTTCCGTCTCCAACAACGCAGAACTTTTCCTTTCCCTTTGTGTGTTTAGGTCTGCGCTAAATCAAACAGGAATATTCACGTACGATTAGATGCTCTTACAAGACCAGTTACACTGAGTTAATGAGCCCTAGAAAGCTCATACATAAATGATTAAATGGAGCGTGTGTGGAGAGCGTTTGTGTTTGTGGCAACACAAACACACACCACATGTACGCCGTGTGATTGCTGACTTGGCATTTTACTCGTGTAAATGCACTATGATTAATGGACCTACCACCAATATTAAAGAGAACAGAAAGAACTTCAATTGAAAAAAAATGAAAACCCTGGAGCTGAAGTCAGTATTGCTATGGCACTGGACAAAAAAAAACATCTGGCTCAGATTTGAATTTTTTTCAGCATAAAAATTCCAAATCACACTTAAAAATGTTAAAACCAGTATTTTTCATAGTATGAGTTGTAAAATCAATTCTAAGATCCACAGTCTTCTTAGCTCTGAAGATGGTTCTGTTTGGTTTTGGGGTCACTCCCTGAGGGTACTGCATTATGGATGAGTATCTGCTGGCACAATTTAGCAACGAGGACACCATTAATCCTCCCCAGATTGCCAACTCGAGGAGAAATTTTGCCCCAAATCTGCAAGGAGCCTTGACCCTGCATTACTGCTGCTTGTAGATACAGTCCTTAATGTGTCTTTCTTTGGCCATTTGGTGAATAAACTGCATCCATTTCACAAAAAAATGTATTTCAATTTTGACTCATTAACTCAGAGCACCACTTAACTGCAGCATTTGAGTTTGTTGTGTACTTAAAAAATAAATAATGATATACATATAAATTCAATCATTAAAATTTTAACACTGTGGGAAGTTGAAGATGTTTTCTTGTTTTTTGGCTGGTGATAAAATTCTTAAAGGAGGGGGTTCTATATATACAGTGGAGTTGCTTTGGTCTGAATTCCACCTTACTGTAACTCCACAAGCCCCTCTTTTGAGGTGTGTCTCAAGATCAACTCGTTTTGAGGCTGTCTCTTTAAATTCAAACAAGGCTCTTCACAGCCCAACTCCCTCCAGCTTCAAGAACGGTCCATTCTAATTTCATAGAGGGGTTTACGACTATACATACGACAGATCAGATATTGGAAGCAGCTGACTGGGGAGTGATAACTAGAGATGTGACGTTCGCGAACGATACGAATCTTTTGAACAGCTCTTTACAACGAACGATAGGAGCCGAATCACGGGCAATAACGAGCTATTTGTAGTTTTATTTATTTTATTCCTCATATAATCTTTATTTTTCATACTTAAATCACTCCCGCTTTGCTTTTTCACGGAAAACAGACGGCGTTGTGGAGTACAGAAGCTCACGGTGAAAGGGGAACGGGGGTTTCCGCTTGATAAACACATGGTTCCACCCACATGATGGGATGATTGTCATTACGTACGGCTACGTGACGACATATTTTCCTACGTGATGACGTATTTTCCTACGTGATGACGCAATACGTTCAAAATCGAACGGCTCTATTGAACGGCTCTATGAAACAAACGGCTCCCCAAGATCCGGATCCCTTCAAGGAGCCATTTACCCCATCTTCACTGGTAACAGACTGGAGGAAAACACTGAAGAGAAATAAGAAATGGCAAAAATAAGAATAAACTCAAGAAAAAAAAACAGCCTAGCATCAAAACCAAAAACACAACGTGACACATCCTACCATCAGTTCTTTATCTGTAATCAGTCTCTCTATATATTTTATCATTTTTTATATAGTCTGAAACATTTTTCATTTACAAATGAGTTTAAAGATGTCAACAAGGAAGACTTGTCCATCCAGCCTTAGGCTACATGTTGGAGCCAGAGTCTGACCTAGAGCCAAAGGAGAATGAACACCACCAAATTGTTGGTAAGTCCAGACCTTATTTACAAGTTCTGTTTTGTAATTTGACATAATAGTTCAAAAAAAGGTCACAGAAAATAGAGAAAACCGAACGGGTTGAAAAAAATGACCCAAACAATACATAAAGATATCTGCGCAGCACCGCGAGAAATAAAATTCAATATTTCCGCACTCTTAGAGACTCCAAGTCCACAACAAAATGTATTTAACTGCTAAAAATTTGGATTTTGGCGTGACATGTCCTCTTTAATAGTTTTTTCTCTCTCTCTCTCTCTTTCTAAAGATCTTGACCATTTACATCAAAGTTCAACATTTTAGCTTTAATGATTATTACAGCAAACTCCTTTTTTAATTCTGGAAGGAAAACTCCATTTAAATGTACAAACGTAAAGTTTTATGGAGGGGGGATCATGAATATTCAGCGCTGTGACAGCTTTGACAGGAACTAAGATGTTTTATTGAGGGCAAAGTTTTAACATCTGTGTGGGGAAAAGAAGGTTTAGTTGTGCAAACACCAGAGTTTAAAATAAATGTTTCATTCAGGAGAGGAACTTTAGAACAATGTGTTGGAACGATTGTTATGAGAATGTGGTTTTATTGTTACCTGCGTTTGCTGCTCCAGCCTCTGTTTCGCCTCCTTGAGGACAGGATCTGTGTTGCGTACGCTCATCTCTGGGTTCTCCTTCTGGGCTTTTAAAGTGCTGCCAACAACCCGACCTGCATAACTGCACACAGGCAGAACATGAGATAAACATGAAGCACTTCCTGGTACAGTCGAACTGCGTGCACGACGCTCTTCTCCCTCAGATCTCACAGTCACGGCACTCGTAATTTCACTAAATGTGCTGACTTCATGCTCACAAGCAGAACTGAGTTTCCATCACTTCAGAGGGCTTCACGTCATACAGTTTTTTTTTTTTTGGAAACTTACCCTAACCATTACTGTAACCGCCGCTTTTCTCATCCTGATCTTTGATCTGAAACCTAGCTTCAACTCAGAGCATCATTTATTTAAAGAAAAAAAAAAAGATTTGTATCACAAGGACTGGCTTTCAGTTCTCAGAAGAGAAGCAGGAACCTGCAAATGAGCTCTGATTAAAAAAATAAAATCTGGCCATCCGAACAAAAAAAATGCAAATGTAAACATTACAAAAATTGTTTTATTCTAGAAGAAAATGCAAATAAAGACGTAACTAATCTACTGAGTCGTCTGCATAAATGAATACTTAACAGTGCTGGGTGGTATACTAGTTTCCCTTCTCTGCTCCGTCTGGGACTTCTCCCATAGACAAGGATTTCATCGGGAGAATTTTCATCCGGGCCAATCAAGGAACAGAAGGCGGTGTTTTGAACGACGTTGATTTTCTGCGCAGTGTCTGCTTGTTATTTTAGCATACGGCAGTGGAGGAAGTGAATGAAGACTGTCCGCGTTGATAAGGCTTCCAAATTAAAATAAATTTGTCTGACAAAGCAGCAGCTCTCATTTACAGTCATCTCGTTCAGCTCGGTACTTCTCTCCTCTCAGTAGGGTTGTTTACAGCGCATGCAATTTTCGGTTAGCTTCTTAGCTTAGCTTCCTTCACAGCGACAAATGTCACGGCCAACCGATACAATCGTTTTAAACTGCAGCAGAGGCCACGCCTCCTGCAAGAATCACTTCTCTATAGCCGAGAGTCTGAATACCGACTCAGGTGTTTGAATAACTGGAACATTACATACATTACCCTTTTCCTCGCAGCACCGCTATGAGCATTAGCAAGCTAATGTTGTTGAAGCAACCGGTATAATTGTTGAAAAAACCATGAAAAAATCTGCACTAATATCTAACTTCTGATACATACTCATACTTAGTCCATCCTAAAAATTTTCACGTTTTCATTTCATTAAAAGTTAATATTAATGAAAAAGCTGTTGATGGGTGCAACTGTCATCAACTCTAAACTCAGCCTGCAAAATGATTCCTGCACACACATTTCTTATCCAACAGGCATTTACAAAACTCCATTTATGAATATTTTCTGAAACTTCACTGTACTATCAGTTTTTTTTCCAAGGTTGCCTAAGTTTATGCAAATACAAAATGCAAAATCCTTTTGAAATTCATCATGCTGCTGTAATTTAAACCATCTAAGAAAGTATCCATTTGACCTCACTTTCATTTATCAAAATAAAAACATCCACATCACAATATGGGGTGCATTTTAATAGGTTTTCTGTGATTATTTGTGCCTGAGGAATGTTTCTATTTTAATTATGATATGGGTGGAGTGGTTTGAAAATGTAAATCCTGTCACTTTAGAGTAAACTTTGATCATTCTGCACGTCGACGCTTCGCTCTCTGCAGCCTGCTGTAAATACGAGTCACATTATTTTACCGGTGTAGGGAGGCGGGTGGGTGGATCAAAAGAAAAGATGGAGTGAGAGGAAAAGCAAGAGAGAAGAAGAAGTTTATATGAGTCACATATTTTTAGGCTCCTAACCAGCTTTGCTAGCTAATACAATCAGCCACCAACTCACCACAGTCCACACCCTCGAACACACAAACACGATCTGGCTGTGGCAACAAGGGGAAAAGGATTGTGGGAACTGAGGAGCAGAAACTGCATGGATAAATCTAAAACGATGCCAAGAAGATGCTGCAGTGGAAAAAAAAAAAAAAGACCCCATCCTGCTGGGATCAGACAGAAAACTTCATACGGCGCATGAAGCCTTTAATTATCTCCCTCCCTTTTTATTCATACACAGATCATAATTCAGTGCACATATTCTTCCTGATAAAAAAGGTCACGATATGCTAAAGGTCCTTTTCCAGACAACGTGTTAACGTCCCGAGGTGAGTTCTGCCTGGTCTGGATCTGTGTTCGGCTTCATTACGCCTGACAGCTAACTATCTGGGCTCCCGAGAAATGCCTATAAACTATCCGTGTGTGATACGTTTCTCCAAAAACAGCTCTGAGCAAAGTTCACAGACAGACAGCCAATTTCACATCAGCGCATCGAGAGTTGCATATTTAATTTGAAGAAACAACAGGACTACACGCACTCATGGGAAAATTACAGAGGCGAAAAGAAAATAACAATGCAGAGGGAGAAAAACAAAACAAGTGCACGAGCAGCAAAAGTCATCAATAGAAACAGAATCGAACCGAATAAATTAGACCAAATAATGCTGACACTTTTAACATACTAAATAGACTGAAGTTAGTGTAGAAAAGAAAGTTGTTTCTCATGAGCAAAAGGTGTGAATCAGGACCCCAATGATGCGCAACACAAAGAGGGAAAGACAGACAAAAACAAGGGGATGTCGAGCCCCGCTTGCATTCACTACATACACATAACATGACACTGGTCAGGTGATGGGCCACATGACCCTCTATGAACAATAGAACTAATCAAGCCTATTGTTAGGCAATGGCCCTCTTTTGCATGTGACTAACCTGTTTGTCCATCATGTGGAGGCAGGGCTTATAAGGCTGAGTTCACCTGAAACTCATCAGACTGAAGAAGTCTCTTGGAGGAGAGACAAAACTTTTCACTAAAGAAGAACCCATCCAGAGGACCTACTTATTTTTTCTTTTTTGATTTTTTTCCACCTGGATTACTGAGATGCATCAGGACATTATTTCTCGCAGTTTTGCACCTGTTTTCTAAAATAATATTTAATCTTTTTATGTTTTTTTGCTCCCATTGTGAGGAAGAGCTAACAACTCAAACAATGCGAGATGTCATCCTAATGACAACAACAGGAACATTATTGGTGATGGGTGGTGATATTTGTAGGGTGAGCTTCCAGATGTATAATATACTGTATACAGTAGATATATAATAAAACTGTGCAGATTGGATTCAAACAACAAAAGCATCCAATCGGAAATAAGAAAAAGCTGTAAATTGTCATTATGTCTTTTTTGAGCACAACAAACCAAGGTTTCACAGAGTCTCTGTAAGTTATCTAATTCACCTGCATTTAGGGTTTCAATTATAATTGCAAGGAGAAAACAGATTTGTTAGCTACACTTGCCATTGGCCAGTCTTTTTGCGGAAACCAGGTCACAGTTAAAGTGCCTGTGAAGAAAGTCAAATAAAACAACTTTATATTTAAGAAGCTTTGCATAAAACACATGATTTTACTCATTTTGTCACATAAATCGCATATTTTCTTTTTGAACTTGGCTCAGCTAAAGTGAAACAGGAAGTGACATCAAAGGGGAACTCTTTAAGAAAATGAACTCTGGTCTTTATTGAAACAATATTTAAAACTTTAACTGTTCTTCATCTCTCTGATGGTGACTCAATATAATCTAAAGAAACATCAGATTCTTCTCTACAGTCTGTGCTAGCTCTTGTAGCAACTCTCTGTTTACATGCAGACGTTCCTCTTTGACATCACTTCCTGTTTCTTCACATGCAAACATCTCAACAACTGTTCATCTCAGCGGTGTGAAATTAGTTTTGCAATATGTTATCAATGTTATCTTTCCAAAAATGAGTTCATATTTATTACAAAAATTTGATGTCACGGGCACTTTAAGCTTTAGTTTTGCAGCTTTTCCCTTTGCCCCAACCTCTTCACTTCCAGGTTTTTCCTCCAAAGACAGTAAAGTAAACAAGTGAATAATCCCCCTCGTTTACATTAATCTCACTCTCCATCGTATCACTCTACGCCAAACCACACCCATGTACGCTCACGCTGGAGGCACGTTATTGTACCCCCGTTGGCTAAAGCCTGTGTGCTTGGGCTGACCCTGGGCAGAACAAAATTAGCCCCAACCAGCAGCAAAACGAGGGGGCGGGGACAAGACCTCTGTCAATCATAAAGCACCACGGAAGACATTAAATGAACGAGGCTGTGTAAAGTTAGCCTGTGATTTTTCTCCAGACTGTTTGGCACCAGTTTTGTTGTAAATATCAGAAAATGTGATGCAACAGTTTTAATTTGTGTTTATTTAAAAGTTTTTATTGCAAACACCAGGGAGAGCTTAGCCCTTCAACCCCTCCCAGCCAACCGAGGAACAATATTTATCTCTGCAAATTATCATTGAATATAAATCAGTGGGTTAGCACCTGCTAATAATGATTTGGTCCACGTGTGGCTGAAAAGTCATAGGTTCAACGTTTTAATTTTTCTAGCTCTATTCAATAAAAACTGCAAATGAACAAATCAATGGGTTCAACCTTTATACAGTGCAACAGCTCTGCAGCCACATTAACATTGTGCTTTTTCTTTATTTTAAAATGAACAGTTTCCAGTAATTTCACCATGATAACCGATAATATCGATTATCAATTTGCACTAATGTCAATAAAATATGAAAAGGTGCATTCTTTATCGTTTTTGTTTATGCTGTGATTTAAATTCTGCGTGTCATTGTCCTACTGGGTATACGTAAGGGAAACAGGAAACAATGTGCCAACATGTCTTAAAAAAAGGATGATTTCAATAATAACAGGATGCTGGGCCACATGAAAACACATTAACACACGTCATAAAAGCCCCCTCCGAAAGCTCTTGTAAAAAGGAAATGAGGAGGAAAGTATGGGAACAAAAACAAACAGAGAGCAGGAGAGGGGGAGGGTGACGAATGAGCATAAATAAAAAAGAGGAATAAATAAAAGAGCGATTAAAAACCACAGACTTTTGCTGGAGGGGGAAAATCCCAAGATTCCTCCGACTCCAGCAAAGATTTCAGGGATCAGTTTCAACACCACACATCCACGGCATCTG